TAGTTTCTCTGCGTTAAGGGCAACAAATGCTAGCTAATTTTTTAGATGTCTTACCTATCCTCACCCCTCCCTTGTGTGCTCTCCCTTTTATCATGTGCTCAAAGTCTAATCCCATTGTTGTGTTTGCCCTTGATCTAATGTCCACATATGAGAGAGAACATATGATTTTTGGTCTTTTGGGCCAGGCTAACCTCACTCAGAATGATGTTCTCCACTTCCATCCATTTACCAGCGAATGATAACATGTTGTTCTTCTTCATGGCTGCATAAAATTCCATTGTGTATAGATACCCCATTTTCTTAATCCATTTGTCGTGATTTTTTTTCCTGCTTTTTAGCTACTATAAATCATGCTGCTATGAGCATTGCTGTAGAAATATCAGTTTAAGACCTTGCTTGCACTTCATTTGTGTGTATAACTAGAAGTGGAATTGCTATGAAGTCTTACAAGTAATTCTCTTGTTTAACATTTTGAGGAACCTCCATACTGTTTTCTACATCCTTGTCAACACTTGTTATTTTCCATTTTTCTCATTATAACCATCCTAGTAGATGTGAAGTTGCATGTTCACTTTTAGAACATTTAACATTTTATTTATTTATTTTTTTATTGTTGTTGTTTGCGGTACTGGGGCTTGAACTCAGGGCCTTCACCTTGAGCCACTCCACCAGCCCTATTTTTGTGAAGGGTTTTTTGAGATAGGGTCTCACGAACTATTTGCCCGGGCTGGTTTCGAACTGTGATCCTCCTGAACTCTGCCTCCTGAGTATCTGGGATTACAGGCGAGAGCCACCAGCACCTGGGCATTTAATTTTAGATGCAACTTCAGTCTAAGCATGTTACTTTGTGACACAGGCACAGTTTACTAGGGCTGTATGGTACTTACTTGGTAACCTTTTTATTTTCTAATAATGAAGACAGTTTTGGGCCATTTTATCCCTAGCAGATAGACAGTTATTCAGTGGCTTCTGAAAGACACCATGCTGTGTCTTCAACAGGGTGTAACATGAGTAAGAGGTAGCTCTTACCCTTAGAGGAGTGAAAGCATGCATGTGGGTATAAGGAGATGTGTAGACAAGCCCTAAAGAACAAGAAACACAATCGCTGGCCCTAAGATGTACAGAGTATTAGAGGTACCAGCAGAATCTGAGATAGGCCTCGAAGGATTCAACAGGGTGAAACTAGCCTGGCAATTTGAAAGGGTTACAAAACAGATATCTGACCCACACCTATGGGCAGGAGAGTTCATAGAGGGTTCTAGGTAAATGTTTAGTTGAAAAAAATTAGGCTTAGGCATCCATATATTTTTTTGAAAACTCAAAATCAGAACAAAAAATACTTTCTTGTTTTTATTTTCCCAGTTTTGATGTAAGTTTTAATAATTTTGGTATGACAATGATCTTACATTAATAAAAAGCTTGCTTTCTTGAAGTGGTATTCTTTGAGTCTTAACAGAAGCACATGTTTATAATATTTTAATCAACATGCATCGCTCTTCCTTAGTCCATGGTGATTTGGTGTTATGCACAGCGTAGTGTGTGCTCTGTCTGAAGATGCGTTAAGTATACAGGGTCCCTTCTGAACATGCAGCTACATTTTGGATGTGCTACTTCTGCAGATACTTAAAAATTAATTTTGATTTGTATATATTCTGATCTGATCCTTAGGAAAACTCTGAGAAGCAGAGGTAGGACAACAAATATTCTTGTTTTATGGGAAGTAAACTTGAGGTTTTGAGAGGTGGTCAGACCCAGCTAGAAAGTGATGTATTAATAGATGCCAAATCTGTGCCATTTCTGTGATATTCCTAGAACGAATAAGATGCAAGTATGTCAGGTCTTTAATTTAAAAACACTGCAGTACTGTATGTTAAGACTTTGTTTCCCATTGCCCAAGGCATGTGAATTATCAATAAATATAAATCTGAAACACAGGAGTGAAGTAAACTTATGCATGATCATCTTTCATGGGGCCCTGAAATAAAGACGTTGCCATTTTTACATAGATATAATGGACTTAGTACAGTATTTGAGCATTATGCACTGAATATTTATGTGGTCTTTTCCCTCTAGGTGGCTCTCTGGGTCTATATAGATACAGACTGTGGGGTTACATTTTAAGGATTAGACTCTGAGGCTAGGAGCACATAACATCAGCTATTCAATTTAATATAAGTTTGAAAAAGGAAACAATAGCAAAACAAATGAGAGCTGGCATTTATTTGTTACACGCTGCAGACTTGGGGGAGGGGGGGAAGAAGGGAAGAGATAGACAGGAACTTGAAATTGCAGTGCTCCGTGATTAGGCCTACTGAGTAAAGAAGATTTATTACATTTCTGTTACATACTTCATTTTCTAGGATCCCATCATTTGTACTCACTGTGAGATAAGTTTCTTGAACACAGGAGTAGTAATTTGCTGGATCTCTAATTTTCTGTAGAACACTTGGCTTGAAGGGAAATAATAAATTACTTGTATGTCTGTGAGTGCTGCGTGCTAGGGAAGCGTGTCAGAGTGTAGTGGTGTATGAGCGTGTCAGTGCGCTTTTTCTCCTCACATTTTACACCCTGATCCATGTTAACAGGGCATGTGCATTGCTACTGTATGAGAAGCACCTGGGGCTGTGTGGGTATTTTTGGTTTTTACCTGACAGATTTTCATTCCTTAACATGGGTCCTTCCTCCCTCCCCACTTCCTCCCTCTCTCCCTTCTCTCCCTTCCTTCCTTCCTCTTTCTTTTTGGTGGTACTGGAGTTTGAGCTCAGGGCCTTGCATTTGCTAGGCAAGTGCTCACTTGAGCCAAATCCCAGCCCTTTTTGCTTTAGTTATTTTTCAGGTAGGGTCTTGTGTTTTTTGCCCAAGTCAGCCTGGACTGTGATCCTCCTACCTACATCTCCTGCATAGCTGGGGACGCAGGTATGTGCCACCATGCCTGGCTGGTTGAGATGGGGTCTCACTAACATTTTTTTTTTTGCCCAGGCTGCCTTGAACCATGATCCTTCTGAGCTCTGCCTCCTAGGTAGCTCGGTGCGAGCCGCCATGCCTGGCACTTAACCATGCTTTCTCCCATTGGTGTCAGTGAGAAGTCCCTCATTATTCTCATTCCTCTTCTTATCCTTCCTTCCTTGTTTTGGATGCCTTTTAAATATTGGTGTCTTATCAGGTTTCTGTATTTGTTTTTCTTCTCTTTCTACTGTGTTCCCTAAAGACAACTTTATATATGCCAAGATTTCAGCTACCATTTATGTGGTGTCTTAGTCACTTTGAGCTACTGTACAAAAATACCATGGATTGGGTAGCTTAAAGAGAGTTTTATTTCTTACAGTTCTGGAGAGTGGGAAGGCTAATATCAAGGTACCAGAAGATTTGATACCAGTTGGGGCCTGCTTCCTGGTTCATAAATAGCCATCTTCAGTGTCTTTGCATGGTGGAAGGGGCAAACACACTTTCTAGGGTCTTTTATAAGGGCACCAGTGCTTCTCAGAAGTGCTTTAACCACACAACCCTGATCATCCCCCAAAGATCCCTTCCTCATCCTTAACTCATGTTGGGAGTTAAGATATCAGTATAAGAATTTGGGGAGAAGAGGCACAAATACTCATTCATAACGTATGCCAGTAGTTTTCATGTCCATGTCTTTAGCCCATTCCTCTTCTGAGCTCCAAACCAAATCCTTACTTCACTGTAGCAAGCCCAGAGTAGGTATTCAAAAGATGCTTGTGGAATGAATAAATGTTTAGAATTCATCCATGCCTCCTTTAAGTCATCCTGTCCCTTCTAGTCTCTTTCTTCTTGAAGCTACTTTCCTGTGTGCAAGCTTGGCTTGAGAGTCATTGACTTCTTCTTATTCCACATTTACTGTATGGTTATTAGTTCCTATCCAGGTCTGGGAGTAGAAGTTTAGAGAAAAGATTGTCTTGGATGCACTTGGCCCTTCCCCAAAACCTATTTGATTGCATTTCAGGGAGGCTTCTAAGTTAGGTCCTGTCATAGCACAGTGTGATTACTGGCTCACTTACTCCTCTCCCACCCCAAAGTTTATGTGCATGTGACGTCCATTCTGACTCACTCCATTATTTGCTTTTTCACATTTGTGTTGAGCAGCTCATGTATTGATAGATTTCATAGTTTGATTATGCAGCTGAAAACATATGGTGATAGGAAATTTTTGGACTCTACTTGTGAAAATAAGCCACAAGATTTGAGTGATGAGTCAGTATGGAGAAACAAATCCCCATAGTGTTCTCTCATAAATCCTTTAGATACTGACCACACAAAAAAAATTAAATGACACAAAGAGTGGGTAGCAGCAATACGTTTAAGGATATAAATAGTGCTTGGTTCATAAAATGATACCATTAGAATATAATAGGGTTAGTTGTATGTATGTAGCCAACATAGAAATAGGTAAGATATTGCTCTCTGACTTGTCAGAGGTAGTAGGGTAAAGTCATTTAATCTATATTCTTTCTTTATGTTTAAAACATTCTGTTGCAATGCTGTAATATCTTAGTCAACTGAGTGCAGAGAAAAGGTAGCTTTTTGCAGTTTGTTAAGAGGTTGTTCTTGGAGTGGTAGATCACCTGCTTAGCAAGTGCAACACCCTGACCCCAAACCGCAGCACTGCCAAGACAGAAAAAAAAAAAAAAGAAGTTGTCATTTGAGCCTGGCATGGTGGTTCATGCCTGTAATTCTAGCACCCAGAGGCTGAGGCAGGAAGATCTCAAGTTTGAAGTTAGCCTGGACTACATAACAAGGCACTGTCTCAAAAAAGAAAGTTGTTCTTTAAATTAATTTTGGCTTAATTGTCATAATTATCTCTTCTGCTTGGGGAAGAAAATGAAAGCCCTGTGACATGAAAATATTTAAATAGCGTGTGGTTGCTAATATTCTTGATCTTAGAAATCACGACTGGCTCGGTGATAGCTCTTTTTGTCTCTGAGTCATGTTTGAATGTAGAGGTCTCCACTCACCTTGTCCCACTTTCTGTGACCCTGTAGGTTCATGGACTGTATCGCACAACAGGTGCTAGTTTCGAGAAGGCCCAACAGGAGTTTGCAACGGGTGTGATGTCCAACAAAACTGTCCAGACTGCAGCCGCAAACGCAGCTTCAACTGCAGCAAGCAGCGCTGCCCAGAACGCCTTTAAGGGCAGCCAGATTTAGAGGCCTCCCGCACTACACTGTTACTTCCGACTGTACTTTTTCTCCAGTTACTGTCTGCTACAAATATTTTTATGTTGGAAACACAGTACACACAGCATGGGTATTCCTGTTCACACGTGCATGGGCTAAAACCAGAAAAGTTCCTTGACTTATTACTTTACCTAATAGTTTCTTAATATTTTAATGCCCCTTGAAGAGAGAAATATTACATGCTAAATAAATATTCTCCATATTTTTGGGGGATGATGTTCAGCAAATTATTTCAGTGGTGACACACTGAAACTAATATGCAACTTATTTAAAAAACACTTAATACTAACTATAGTAGTTCTTTCAAGAATCTGTAGAGATGAGGATCACACATTTGAACAGTAAAGCTCTGTTTCGTTCTTGTTCCTATTTGTATTCAATTAAATAGGCCAGCAGAGACTTAATGGATTTCTAAATTGGCTTGCTTTTTATCAGATTCAGTCACCAGTAAAGAGCCCGTGTGCTTTGTAGTAAATAATGTATATTTTATCTCTTTTTTTTAGAGTAGTTGGTATTTTGATAACAGTCTCTGATCTTGCATGGGCACCATGTTTCTTAAATGAAAAGAATTAGTACTTTGGGTCCTGTACTGCTTATAGTTGTAGGAATCAGGGGTTGTTTATGAAATCATAGAAATGATTTTCTGTAATAGTTTCTTTTAAATAAAAATTTATTGGAGTACAGAGACTTTAATATGCAGTGCATTATCCAAAAGAGAAGGAAGTCAATTGGTACAATAGAATGTAGTGGTAACAATTCCTTTTATTTTTTAATTTTCAGTATTCATATAGTAAAATTTTACTGTATGGCAACTTTGGTATATTGTCGTGACTACTTCTTTTTAATTGAACTGAGATTGTGTTTGGCAGCTTATTTTGGGGATGTGTGTGTGTGTGTGTATGATTTTTGACAGATATTAAAGGCTAGCCTAACCCTTGTCTAAAAAGAACACACAGTATTGAAAGGATTTTTCTTTTATCTGCTTACTTTTAGTTGCGTTAAAAATCAAAAGACCCTAGCACTTCTAATATACTTGAATCCTTAATGCATCTAAGTCTTTCACTTTTTGAGACATTAAAAATTTTTAGCAATAGAAAAAATAAAACATTGCACCAAGCAAGAAAATAAAATACAATTAAATGCATTATTTACGAGCATAGTCACATTGAAACTGTTACTATGCTGCAAGACCTTAATTGCTACGGCATATTTTGGTTCAAACATTGAATCATTCTTAATACTGACCAAATGACTCAAACATTTGTAAGTCATGCTATTGTGTTTTGAAAGTATTTAATTTTAGATTAGAAATATGTAATTTTAGATTACAGAATGATAGGTAGTAGTTTTAAGTAAGGGTGGTAATTTGGATTCTATTATTTGAAATAGAAGATCCTTTTTAAAAAAATCAAATGGCATAAATGACTAAATCACGTTTATTCTCCTTCCCAAATCTGGGGTTGAAGTAAATTTCCTGGTGAGGGTGGGATGCCAAGTCACCATGTCTATATGGTGCTGGGTAATGTGGATCCATCCAGGTGGTGTTTACATTTGATTTATTTAGGACTTTACTGAGTAATGTAGTTGGAAGATACTTCTTTTATTCTGAAGAAAATAGGATTCAGACTATGAATTTAAAGCTGTTTTTATAAACATTTGTGATCAGTGATAATCTCCCACCATATTCAGCCAGCTCAGCAGTTCTGAAGTCTTAGTGAAAATCTCTTTCCTCAGTGTACTTTGTTGAGTATGGATTTTTCACACATTCAAAACATTAACCATAGAACAGAACAAGGGCACTTACATCCATCATTCATTTGCACCCAAGTCCACTTTTTTTTCCTCTAAGCTACAAATAAAGGATGTATCAGAGGCTTTTTGATAAATATGGGTATACTTTCCATGAGAATTGAAATGTTTCTTTTATGTAGAAATCCCCAAAGGTAGCATTATTAAGTGGCTAAGAATAATGACTACCCATGGTATTTTTTTGTGTGAATAGGGAAAATGCTACTTTAAAATATATTTATTTAGATTAATGCAAGTTTGAGAGAGAAAATTATGTTTTTGCAAAAAACATAATTGAGCATTAAAACGATGGCTATGCCTATAGCTTGATCAGGTGTGAAAGCAGCTTTAAATTCTTATATTCACTGTTCTCTGAACAATAGTCAGTAAATAGTTACAGTTCACTCAGCAAAAGCTTGGCATTTGTTACCAGTATCACAGTCACGAAATGGTAGGCACAGTAGGCATCCATGTCATTTTTTCAGTTTGCAGTGTTAACCCATGGCTATTTTATTTCAAACTAGTGTTTGAATACTGGAAATCATTGCTGAGTGATTTGTAATTTGGTACTTGGACTATTTATCTAGGGATATTTGTATATTTGTCGGTAAGTAATCTCGCGATGCCGTCATGGTGACTGTCACTGTTCTGTATAAATGCCCTCCATCTGTCCCTCTGATGTTGCATGTTTTCAGTGGTTTGGAAGTTTTGTATATTTATTGTAATAACGCAGAGTGTCATAAAATAAAGTACTGTTTACTGAATGTTTGTTTACATTTGCATAATTTAAACACTGTATCAGCAATTACGAGGCAGAAATTATGCTATAGGTTTAATGTATATATAGAAATTTTACATTTGATTTTTTAAAAAAAATTTATGTGCTAAATAGAATAAATAATGTAGACTTAGTTTAAAGCTCTCAGCAACATACAGTGATGATTTTCTGTTGCATTAGACTTTGTAGGTAGTCAAAGCTTCACCCACATGAAATATTTTGACCACTTTAAGGTCAAAATCCACAGACTGTGTAGAAGGTGGTCAGATTTGTGGCCCAGCCTTTTCCTTGTGGTTTAAATTGGTGCCTCTGTACCAGTATTGTATTGATTTAATTGAAACTGTGTTCTTTTTCCCTGTTGCTTACCTGTTGCTACTTATGTACTGATGGAAGTACTATTTGTGTATTGGGTTTTTTTTTTTAACTTGGTTAGCTAAAAATGTGAAATTTATAAAATCATGCTTATGGTGAATTCATTTTGAGAAAATACATGTTAAATTAAAATAACAGTTTTTTTTTTATTTTCTGAATGTTATGTAAAAGTAAGTTTGGATTTCACACTTAGTTTACAGGAAAAGACCTTATTCTGTAATTCATACTGAGATATGGTTTGCATCATAAGGAGATTTAGGTTGGTAGGTATAGTAGATGTTTCTGTGAGTCACTGGTCAGAGCCTAGTGCTTTTACTCATTGCTGTATCTTTTTCTGAAAACATCACATCTAATTCTAGACATTTCTTGGTTAAATCTGTGCATGGCATTGCTGTTTATATACGGGATTTATTACATTTTCAGCCTTTCCCTCCTGCTGTGCGCAGTTTAGACTTACCGTGGCTGTTATACATTGCACTAAGGAAAATGTTCAGAGGAATGTATTGATTCCACATGATTAAGCTCTTTAGAGTGAAATGGGTAGTTAATTTAAAAATCATTGAGGATAGTTAAAATTAACAAAGGCCTCACTTTAATAGATTTTCAAGTACCATAGTATAAATTTGTTTAAAATATAGTGGAATGATATGTTTTAAAACATTAGAGTTGCTTAAAGTACTTTTTTTATTGTTGTACTGGGGGTACAATGTGACGTTTACAAAAGCTCTTACAATATATCATAGTTGAATTAACCTCCTCCAACATTTCCCCCTATATTTTATCAAACTAAAAGTTGAACCTTAGTGATCAAATATTTTGGAAAACAAAAGTATTACTAAAATTTTAGGGTACATTTTATAAAACAGTATGCTTGTTGTGTTGGTAGGTATTTCTAAGACTTATTTTAGGGCTTTATCCTGTGTAAAATCCTGTGGATTTTACGTTTATAATTTAGCCTGTGGTTTGGGTAGACAGAGGCTCCAATCTGCAGTTTTCATCAGCACTGTTTTTGTGTTTTCGAAGGGCAAGGGAACTTGGGGACTGTGATCTGGCAATGCAGTAAGTGTTACATTTTGTTTCTCCAAATCCTGCTTTAGTTTTTAGTTCGTAGCTTTCTGGGCTTGACATAGCTGATGGTATAGCTAAAACACTCCTAACGTTAGACCCCATTTCAAACTGGGCGTGGTGGCTCACGCCTATAATCCTAGCTACTCAGGAGGTGGCGATCAGGAGGATCGCAGTTGAAGGCCAGCCCAGGCAAAAAGTTTGTAAAACCTCATCTGAACCAGTAGTTGGGCATGGTGGCACTCATCTCTCATCACAGCTACGGGGGAGCATAGAGTAGGAGGAGGATTGCTGTCCAGGCGTAAACATGAGACTCCATCCCCAACATAACTACAACAAAAGTGGCTGGTATCTATGCACCTGCCTACATGTGAGAGGCCCTGAGTTCAAACCCCAGTGCTGTCAAACACTACCGCCACCACCACTACCACCACCACCGCCGCCGCCACCAAAACCTATTTCCTTTTTTCTCCAATAGGAACAGAAAATATTTAATTTCTTTCTTCCTAGTAATTTCTCATATTCTGCTATTACTATGTATTTCTGTAAGGTTACTCTGAGTATTACCTTCTCCATATTAAAACAGTTCTAATTTGTAAGATCATACCATATAAGTTTTATTTTTGAACTCTAGTCATTGTCAGTCCTTACTTAGATGTAATCCTGGAATTCCTCTTCAACCATTCACTCACTCATTCATTTTTAAGACAGTCTTGTTATGTAGCCCAGACTAGCCTCGAATTCATACTCTTCCTATATCAGCTCCCCAAGTGCTGGGATTACAGGAGGCTTCAACTTTTAATTTTGGAGGGATCAGAGTCTCCAGATCAATGGTGGTGGTTGTAATTGTTATTGTTGGCAGTCTTTTGGGTGTTCTCTGCAGTTTTCAGGTGTTTGGGTGTGGCCCAGGGGTGGGAAGGGGGCTCCAAAAACCACTGTCATTTATCTGGTAGTATTGTGGTTATGACAATATTGAGTCTCCCATACGAAAGGCCCACTAGGCATATGCATCCTTCAGACTGTTTTTCCAGTATGAAAGCAATACAGAACTATCAGTTGTAGAGCTTTTAAAAAATGCAGAGGTGATAGATGAGAAAGTAAAAATGCACCCCTACTTCTATCACCTAGGGGTATCACTGCTAATATTTTACTTTCTTCCATTCTTTAATTGTGCATACATATTTTCACGGTGGTTTAGGGATATCAATATAGATTCTCAAAATTGTTTTTCTCTCACTTACATCATAATGACTTGATAGCTATAAAATTATCTCTTAAAATTTATTACTGCACATTTCAGTATAAATTCTAGAAAATATATGCAAAAAAGATAACTAAATTTACTTTAATTTTTTTACCCATGAATAATTGTCATTAATGTCTGCTTTATATTTTTCTGTTAATTTTCCTAGGAAGACCAGGTTCTTCCTAAAACTAAGAAATGAGAGTCCTGTAGTCCTTTGCGGACTGCAGGGATGCACACCTAGCTCTCAAAGCCTCCTTTCTTTGGGTCCCTGAAGACTGCAGTGGTTCTGGATGACATCTGGCCACAGTACTCATAGCATGCCTGCCTCATGTTTGTGTTCTGAATGTTGACATGTCCAGAACTACACTGCTTCAGAACTGGAACATACAGGACAGCCATATTGCGCCATGGAGAAGGAACAACCAACAAAGCCAACCAGCAATGAGAATGAAGAGTGAAGTGCACATGCAGAGGGATTCAGGAAAGAAGTGAATAGCTTTCCATTTCTGTTCTGATGCTCTACTG